TGATGATAGTTTGAACGCACAAGGCATGAGGTGCAGTTGCACTAATTACATGAATTAGTTACCGTAATCACACCTGTTATGATCAGTTCGCTGTTTATCTCCCTTTGTGTAAAAGTGCATTGATTCTCTTTAATCATTTTACATTATTGTTTTCGACTTGTGATTTGGCACTATTTTAACAAAAACCAAATGAACTTAATTACTGGTTGGAAACAAAGACCATTGTCAGAAACAATCATGGCGGCAATTGTTCTTTCTGAATTCTTTCCACTATAAGAGAATACTTACCGTACATGGATTTTTTTTTTACAAATGGATCATTATAAAATGTGGGTTGACTTATACACCGGATCTATGAAAATCCTAACTTTTTAAATGAGAAATATGGTGTTGACTTATACATCACATAGACTTATACACCATGAAATATGGTAGAGAAGGAAAACAAGAATCAAAAGGACTGCCCAGAGGCACTTAGTGGGCATGTGGTAGAGCCAAGGGCAGATCCTGCTCTCCTAACCAAATCCAGTAGGCTGCTGTTTCCCACATGTTAAGAACAACCCCTGCAACATTGAGAGTAGGAACTTATTCCGCTTTCCGCACCCAAGTGGCAGTCGCCTAGCCATGTGGCTGCTGGTTTTGGCACTTCGTGATCCTACTCAATGTGCAGTGTGGACATGCATGTTATTCACTGCACTATGGAGTGTGCAGTAGGCTGTGCTCTGGCTGGGCAGGTATATGGCTCTATACAGGAGTAGGAGCACAAATCCTGAAAATGTAGCTGGGCTGAAATCCAGGGCTAATGGGTGTTAGAGGAGGAATAGGAAGATCTTCTAATGTTTCACCCCTGGTAGCTAAGTAGTTGTGTTACTTACCCTGGAAGCAGAAGACCTAGGTTCTGTATTCAGCCAGTAGGAATCTGAACCTGTATCTCCTACTTCCCAGCACATTGCTCTAACTACCAGGCCGTGATTGGGAATTAGCCAGCACTCCTTTTGAAGCCGAGACACTGCCCCTTGCATTTAATAATTAGTGGAAGAAATGGATTATCAGTAGCAGCAGTGGAGAAGTTCTGCCCCAGTGGGGACAAGGTTAGAAGCCAGGGCCTGCTCCCTTGCAAAAGGGAATCTGTCTCCGTAAACCACACACACACTGAAGATTGTGCCCTTCCTCCTGACCCTACACACTCTGGCTGGCCAGCAGATCAGATTTAAAAGGAGGGATGGACAGTGCCTAATCTGCACCCTGTGCTGGGAAGCAGGAAAATTACAGGTATAAACCCCACTCTGGTGCTCAGAGCCTGAGTCTCCCACTGGGGCAATAAGCCAGACAATCTCTAGGCCAGGACTGTCCAACTTTGGCATGGCTGGGGGCCACGTGCTGCAGGGGTGGGCACCAGAATACCGGCACCACATGGCCCCCTGGGATTCCCCCACCATCACCACCATGCAGGCAGCATGCAGCCCCCAGCCAGTGCACTGTATGGGTAGTGTGGTGTGCAGGCCCCCTTCTACCTGCTGCATAGGCAGTGCTGGTGGGAAGCAACAATCACCCCACTCCACCCCCTCCGCATGTGGCAGCAGGAGAGGCAGCTGCAGGGGCCCATGGCCTACCAGTTGAACAAACTTGCTCTAGGTTACTGGTCTAAAACATGGGCTGGCCCTTCTCCTCTTCCATCCCCCCATTTTCAGTAGCTGTGTGGATGCTTGCACATCCACAGACTGTGCTTGGTGCCAAAAATGGCAGTTGCGTGGCGGTATAAGTGCCATATGGGCATGTAAAATGAATGAGGTTACTGTCCTAAATTGGCTCCTTTGATGGTACAAGGATCTGGATGGTACAACTACACAAGCAAAACTGGACCTGCACCAACCTGCATTTACAATAGCCTCTTAATAAAGAGACACACACAAAATTCTATATATAGGACTACGCACAGGTGCAATGTTTTCCCATCAAGAGATGTACACACAAATCTATATATACCCCCCCACACATACCCCCTCCCCAATCTACATATATACACCCAACCTGTCCCACAAAACCACATGCTCACAAAGACAAGACATTGTTGGTAGGTTGGCTCTGCTTAGATCTTTTGGTGAATCCAAGTTGATGGTGACCACATGGTCTGTCCCCATTCTTTGACTCCTAACCTCAGCTTTTCCCTCCTCCCCCCAGTACAACACCATTTTGAGTGAGATGGACAATATCTATTCCACTGCCAAGGTGTGTCCTCCACACCAGATGTCCAACTGCTGGTCATTGGAACCAGGTATGGTGCTTTCTTGTCCCAGCTGGCTTGGAGCATTAGGCCTGGTTTTACATGCTCTGAGATTCAAAACTCCTCACTCGGTTGTCAGGGGCTTATCACCCTCAACCTCTGTTGCAGCCAACAGGCAGCGAGGACAACCAACCTTTTGTAGGATGGGTCTCCTTCTGGAGGAGCTGCAAAAGCAGAATACTGCTGCCTGCTTGCCCCACTCTGTGATGTATGGGATCTACCATCTCAGCTGTGTTGGGCTGGACTCCACCGGCCCAGTCCTTCTACCACCACAGCAGTGGGAACTTGGTCCCCACCTGGACTTCAGGGAGACTGTGGAAAATCTAACCCCATTTTACAGCAATCAGACCTCATGATCCCTAAGGGCAAAGGGAAAGGCCCCTTTTTCCTTGCTATATTGCTTAATTGGCTAGGCAAGTCAATTGGCTGCACGTGTGCTGTTGGCACATGTGTACGCCCTCTGACCTAGCCTCCAGCTCACTTTGGCACATGTGTACCCCCTCCGACTCAAGACTCCTTGATTTGGTTTGCAAACACCCCCCATACATCCATTCTAGCGGTGTTGGAACATGCTTGAGGCTGAGCTCAGGCCATGCTCTGCTGAGCCCACGAGCCATAGAGACCTTGCCTGAGGCCCGAGGTTCAGCGCGGAGCTCGCCCTCTGTTCCAGCCTCTCTGTGACATCAGGGTCTGCGTAGTCCTGAGAAGCTGCCCTGTCTGACAGCTCAAGCCGACCTCACTAACTGCCTTGTTGTTCTTCTTTGTGTCTCAGAGTTATCTGACATCATGGCCAATTCCCGCAGCTACAAGAAGCTGTTGTATGCCTGGGAAGGGTGGCACAACTCTGCTGGCAACCCGCTGAGGTCCAAGTATGAGGAGTTTGTGAAGCTGAGTAATGAAGCCTACAGGATGGACAGTGAGTGTCTTCAGAGTGCTTAGGCAGGAAGGTCATGAATCGGCCCCAGCCTATGAGAGTGTGTGTGGAAGGGGAAGAAGAGGCAGGGGAGGAGAGGAGGGGGTCAAGAAGGAAAGTTCCTCTTCAGATTGCCCCAATCATTACAAAGCCTGGCACAGAATGTAGCATTGCAGAGGTTCAGCTCTCCCTCTGTTGTAAACTGGAAACCAATGGACTCCTCCCAGAAAAGCCAAGAGGACAGTCCAGTGCTGGTCACTCTGCACCTGGTGCTGGGGATCTCAGAGACCAGGCCCTGACCCAGGTGGACCACAGGGATGCTTATCCACCACTGCGCCACGGCCAGGCTTTCACTGCCTTGCTGTGAGTGACCTCTTGCTCTGCCAGTTCAACTGTGTGAAACCAGACCTGGCTCTGAAGCCACCTACACCTGGGTAACTCCTAAGACCCCCCCAGAGTTGTACCTTGAGGTGTGACAACTCCCTCTCAGACTCCTGGAGCAAGGTTCAGCAGGGCTCTGCTCAATGTAAGGCCTGGTAAGGTGCAGCAAAGGTAACCACAGGGCTGCTCAAGCTTGTGCCTAGCTGCCCACCATTCCTGCAGTGCTCTTCTATCAGCCAGGCCCAGGTGGGGTGCAACTGTCCCCTCCCCCAGTTTGCCCATGCCTGCAATCACTATAGCTTGGAGAATGGTATACTGCTGGCCAGATTGGCCCTAGAGTAGGCCACCTGGAGATCTCTCCCCTAGCCCTGTGACAGGGTGCATTCCAGGAGTGATCATAGCACCTCCTAGTGGTGGCACAGCACCTATCCACTACCCCAATCCTTTGATCTGGCTCTTTCTCTTCTGCTACACCTTGATGTTATAAGATATTTATATATGTGCTGGGGGGGGCACTCCAAGACCCACTCTAATTAAAGCACACATAGCATCATGTGTATCACCTTCCCCATGCTGAAAAATGGTGGTTGGGGGTGCTTTAACTAAAACTCATTGAACGAGCTTTAGTTAAAGTAACCCCACTGCCATTTTTCCATGTGGGGATGCTGATACACATGACGCTGGAGTCTGCTGGCGCACAGTAATTACCACGCTCCAGCAGACTCAATTAATCAAGTCTGCTCCAATGAATTGTAGTTACAGCATGTCAGAACAGTCTCATTGCACATGTATAAGTGCCCATAGTTAATATGTTGTTTAGGTGGGTGCCTTCAGTTTTTCATAGATTCATAGATGTTAGGGGCTGGAAGAGCCAGCCCCCCCTGCACTTGGGCAGGAAAGACTGCTGGAGTCAGATGACCCCAGCAAGGTGGGCATCAAGACAATTTTTGAAGATCTCCAGGGTGGGTGACTATACCACCTCTGGGGGGGAATCTGTTCTAGATCCTTGGCATTCGAATTGTAAAGTTTTTCCTTATGTCCAATCTGAAGTGATCTTCAACTAGTTTGTGTCTCTTGTTTCTTTTCTTCCCCTGGGGTGCCTTGGAAAACAGATGCCACCTTCATCGGGGGGCATGTGCCCCCGCTGCGACCAGTCCCACCGACCAGGGTGGGGACTGATCCCATGATGGCCATTTGCTGTTGCCAGTTGCTGTGCTCGCTTAAGCCACTTCCGGGAGGGGCTGCAGCTGCTTCTGGGAGCAAGCGCTAGTTGATCACTGCAGTTGCTCCCCAAAAAGGCTACAGCAAGCACAACAATCAGCCAGTGCTTGCAGGGAGGGCACCGGCGTTTCCGCTTGCCCCTTCTGCACATTGCCTAAGTCACAAGCGCAGCCATCGGGGTGTGTACGTGTACCCCCATGCAACCTCTACACATTGTCACTGCTGCAGACAGTCATCTCAGAAAACGTTCTAGCTTTAAAGGTATCCTGCTACTTTTTCTTACCTGGCCTTCTCTTCTCTGTAACAGGGCTAGGGATCTCTGTTATAGGCCCCAGCTGGGAGTTAACTGGTGCTGTGAGTTGGAGGGAAGGGAGGTACTTACTACCCTTTATGCAGCCTGTTGGAGGGCAGCCAAGCCCCCCCAGTGCCAAGTGGAAAAACTGGGGAGGATGCCCTCCAAACTGTAGCCCAGGTGCAAGACTCACAGCTGTTGGCTCTGTGCTCTCTACGGCTAGATTTTGCAGACACTGGTGCTTACTGGCGCTCCTGGTATGACTCACCCACTTTTGAGGATGATCTGGAACAACTCTACCATCAGCTGGAGCCCCTTTACCTGAACCTGCACGCTTTTGTCAGGAGGAAGCTGTATGACCGCTATGGTGCCAAGTACATCAACCTCAAGGGACCCATCCCTGCCCATTTGCTGGGTAAGTGAAGTGTCCTTCCCCTTGGGGAGGGTCTCTCCCCCTCCTGTTCCAGCATGTAAAGGAAACAGCTGTGCCAGTATGCAGCTCAGTTCTGGCTATGAGAGGGGAATTGTGGGATTGCCATGAGGTGAGGAACAGGGGATTGTGAAAGTTGGAGAAGGGGATTGGGACAGGTAACTGCAGACTATTTACTTTAAAAAGGGGTAAAAGACCTACCCAAGCCTAGCAGCTCATTGGGTGGATGTGGTGAAGTCTCTCCCAGCTTCTGTAGTTAAGGGTGTGCAAGAGAGGGAACCATTCAGCATCACATCCGGCTGTCTTTGACTCCCCAGCCAGCATGACCAGGTGCCCACTGACACCTGGCTGGTCTAGAGGCAGCCTCAACACAAGCATAGATCATGGCTCATATGGTCCAGTGGACTTAGCTTGCTTCTGTATATGCACAGAATGCTGTACCCCTGGAAGCGGTCTCTGATGCAGGAGTCAAATCCACCACTTAAAGGAGACAATGGGAATGGGGGGTCACACATACATTCTGCACTTGTTCCACCTGGGGAAATTCCCCTTCCTCCATAGGGCATGCAATGAAACCCAAAGACCCACTGTGTCCTTTTTTGGGGCACAGCGGAGTTGAGGAGCTGTGCTCTGACTTGTGCACTTCCCACCATTGCAAAATGAGCCACAGTGCCTGCAGGAGCTCCTAGAGTTCATAGATTCATAGTTGGTAGGGTTGGAAGGGACCTAAGTAAATCTTCAAGTCCAACCCCCTACCCTGGGCAGGAGAGAATGCTGGGCTTATATGACCCCAGCTAGGTAATCATCCAGCCTCCTCTTAAAGTCCCTCAGGGTAGGAGCCAGCACCATTCCCTTGGAAGTTGGTTCCAGAACCTAGCCGCCCTGACAGTGAAGTAGCACCTTCTAATGTCCAGCCTGAATCTACTCTCAAACAACTTATGACCGTTATTCCTTGTTACTCTGGGAGGTGCTTGGGGGGAACAGGGTCTCTCCCATTCCCCACTGGTCCCCAAGTAAGTTTACAGACAGCCGCCTTCTCTTGTGAAGGCTGAACAGGTTCAGGTCTCATAGCCTCTCCTCATAGGGTCTGCTCTGCTGTCCCTGGATCATGAGAGTGGCCCTCCTCTGGACCCTCTTGATGCTGGCCACATCAGTTCATAGGCACCTCTGCAAAGGGCAGGGCGGGGATGGGAAATTCCATTGCTGAGTAAATCTTAATGGAAAGTATGCAATCCCCTCCCCATCTGCTGGCACTAACACTTCACACCTCCACAGTGCTGATCATCTGAAGACCAGCCACACTTTTCACTTTAGCCTCCCAGCTTTCCTGGCAGACAGTCACTATTCCATCCCTACAGACATGGGCACTGAATGCAGAGAGGGGAAGTGCCTTGCTTTAGCACACACTGTGGTTCATGGGCAGAAACTCTTATTCCAATGTTTCCACCCCCTGCCAAAAAAACCCAAAAAAGAGCAGCTGCTTAAAATAATCAAGAAAAGAGAAGGTCTAAACTCATTCCTTCTCCCAGAGAAGACCTGTGGGTCCTCCTGCCAAGTGTCTCCCTTGTGGTGCCCAGAGGGCTCACATGGGGCTAGATGTTCTAAGCAGCTGTCTGCAGCCCTGCAGGGCACTTCCCAAAGCATGTTCTTGGGCCCCTCCCCTTCATCAGAAAACATCCACTGTTTTAAGAATAGACCAAGCACCTGCCTGCTTTTTCAAGTCCCTGAGTTGTGGCTGTTTTTTCTCCAGGCAACATGTGGGCTCAGCAGTGGAACAACATCTATGACATGATGGTCCCCTACCCAAACAAGCCCAACCTAGACGTCACAAGCACCATGATTCAGAAAGTAAGTAACTGGCTGCTCTTTGTTGTCTCTGTTTATTACCTTGCCCACAAGCCTGACACAGGACTTGGGCAGCAGCTATGGCAGCAGCTGTAAGGATTGTGAGTAGTGATATGCAAATCAACAGGCAGGCAATGAGAGGCCTCCCTGCCATCTAAAAGCTGCCTTGCTCAGTATTGCCCATAGCAATGAGCAGGGATGCTCCCCAGCCTGCAGGTTGCCTGAGGTGTTTAAATTCATTGCTCGTGCCTTGTGCTAACTGCATCTGCCTACCACCTTGCAGGATAAAATAGCACGGGCAAAGCAGTGCTGCAGGGGAGGGCACTGCATTGTCAAACCAAGGGCCTAGAACAATGGTTCTCAACCTTTTCAGACTTGAAGCACCTCTCAGAGAATACCAGCTCTTAGTTTTTATAGAGCAGTTCTTCTGTAACAAGGGACTTAGAAAGACCAAAGCAGGCAGAATGGTTTTAACACTCTTGATTCCTATTTGAAATCTCTGGGTTTATCTTGTGAATCATGTCTGCACACTTAACAGTGCTCACTTTTCATGGCACCCCACAGAACTCCTGAAAGGATCTCAAAGCACCCCAGGATCACTGACTTAGTGGTGGTGGCAAAGGAGGAAGTGTAGCTTGCAGCTGAGAATCATTTGACTCAATGGGTATGTCTACACATTCATTAATGTGCCATAATTACTGCACATTAAATTTAGTACTTGCATAACCAAGTACTAAATCAATGTGCAGTGGCTGGTGCTACTGCGCAGTAATGCTGGTACGTGGCCTTTTAGTGACACTAACTGTGCAGTAGCATATTAGCACATGTTTTGCCCGGCATGCTACTGTGCAGTGTTATTAGGCTACTGTGCAGTTAGTGTCTCGTGTAAACACACCCAATCTGTGCCTTGAGCACTGGAGAAGCTGAGAATGGGGAAGCCATGAGTGGCTGAAAGACAGCAGTATCCTGACTCCCAAAGCCACACAAGTAGGGACGGCTGGCCTGGGGAGGAGAAGGGGCTGAGGTCATGGAAATGGTCTTCTAACTCTGCTGAAGTGGCAGGGCTGGCTGTGCATAAAAGTCTTTATAGACCAGGGGCTCAGTACCAGTGACACAGCCAGCTCCAGGAGAAGCAGATGCTTCAAGGACCATTATTTGTGTGGTCATTTCTTCTCGAAGAGTCATTCTGAGTAGCAACAGCCCCCAAGTCTGGATGAGCCCTGGGAGAGTCCAGTTTATGCAGGGAAGGGACAGGGTAGTGCAGATATTGTCAGGATGAGCCTGCCTTCAAGCCCCACCTTCATTACTTGAACAAGGTCCAGGAGAAGTAAAATGCTTGGTGCGAACTGAGAGAATAGAGAGAGTCAGATTCCTCCCTGGTGTAAGGATGTGACTCTGCTGCAACCCATGGAAATAGGCTCACATCTACCAGGGATACAGAACAGAATAAAGCAAGAGAAGAAAGGAGAGGACATGAAAAAAGGAAGCAGATTCACAGACCATTCAGGCCAGAAAGATGAAAGAAACAGAGGGGAAGATGAGGGTTCCCTTATGAGTAGACTGCAAGGCTCCCAGGAACTGGGACATAGAGCCAACACAATCCTGGCCACTGCTTCTTCCAAATCAAATTGGGCTGCAACAAGAAGAATGGTCTGGTGCCAGGTGTGCAGCCATTTGTAGTTGCAGAGGATTCTTCTACAGAGCTTATAGGTCTGGTCCTTAGTGCAGGGAGCAGAGCTGGGAATGGCTGAGGAAGGAGGGAAACAACAGAAAAGCAGCCTACTGATCCCTTCCCTGCTGAGTGATGACAAAGCCCAGGCTGGGCCCTCTGAGCACAGTGACCATGGGGAGAGGAGGAGCAGATCTAACAGTCAACACTCATTGGTCTTGTTCTCTACTGTCCTGCCTGGTCTGCACCTGCACCTAAGATGCCAGGCTAGTGGGAATGGCTAATGTCCAGCTGAGAGATCAACTACCCCCAGGATGGCCCTACCTTTGTGTACTGCACCATCTTCACCAAAGGTGTTCTCCCTGAGGAGCTGCCACTAGAGCTGGGGCCAGGTCAATATCAAGAGCTGCCTGCATAGTCCATATCGGTGGGATAAGTGGAGGCCTCCATTCTTAACCTGGCCATGACTCATAGACATAGGGTTGGAAGGGACCTAGTAGATCTTCAAGTCCGGCCCCCTGCCCTGGGCAGGAGAGAAAACTGGGCTCAAATGACCCCAGCCAGGTAGACGTCAAGCCTCCTCTTAAAGACCCCCAGGGTAGGAGCCATCACCACTTCCCTTGGAAGTTGGTTCCAGATCCTAGCCGCCCTGACAGTGAAGTAGTGCCTCCTGATATCTAGTCTAATCCTATTCTCTAACAACTCTCTCCAAAGGCAGAACGTGGCCTCTTGCCACACAGGCACTTGCTATGTGACTGGCCCAAGGTGGGCAGCCTCTGGTTAGCCCTCATAACAGCAGCCTCCTCTGGTCTCTGCTTGCACAGAACTGGAACGCCACGCACATGTTCCGGGTCTCAGAGGAGTTCTTCACTTCCCTGGGGCTTCTGGGGATGCCCCCAGAGTTCTGGGCCAAGTCCATGCTGGAGAAGCCAACGGATGGGCAGGAGGTGGTATGCCATGCCTCAGCCTGGGACTTCTACAACCGCAAGGATTTCAGGTGCGTGGGACATGGCCTGTGGAAGCAGGGTGCTGATGGTCCCTTTGTGCTATGCACATGACCCACACCCCCCCAGTAGGACCTGGCAGAAGCAGACAGGGGGAGGTAAGAGTAGCCATATGAGCACTGGCACACATCC